GAACGAGATTTGGAGCGTTATACTTTGGGCAGGGGTGACATCAACGGTGTCGTCGGCATCGAGGGCATGTAGAACAATGGTGAAAAAATGTATTTTTTTCTTATTTTTTATTTTTCTCTTCTTTTCTTTTATTTTTTCTTCTTTTTTTTCATTTTTCTTTTTCTTTCTCTTTTTTTTTTCTTTTGTATTTTATTTTTCTTTTTTGCATTAATAATAATAACAACTATTATTATGATAATAGAAATAATTATTACTATTATTAACATAATAATTAACAATAATTACTTACTAATAATAGCAAAAAATAAAATAAAATAATAGTAATAATAATGATATTTATAATTATAATTAAAATAATAAAATAAAATAATACTTTTACCTTTGTCTTTGGCTTGCAGGATCGGATCAGAAGATTAGGGCTCGACTGTGAGGGGGACTTCGGCTTGCAGCTTGTGCAGATTGGCAGGAGATAGTGCAGGATTCAGCTTGTGAGGAGGAAGATCAGATCGGCACTAGAAGAGGTCCACGGGTGGAAGGGTCGTGCAATTCTGCGACTACAGAGTGTCGGTCGTGTAGGGTAGTTCTGTTGTTTGCAGTAAGAGGGAGGCGTTGGGTTAGAAGTGGCAGGCTGATTCGGTGAGTAGGTCGGCACAGGGACTGAGACTGGAATAGGGAAAGAAAGTCCAAACTAGGTCGCGAATTGTGTGGATTGGAGCTGAAGAAGATTGTGGCTAGGTGGAGTTCGGTCGCAGAAGGAAAGATTGGCCGGAAGATCTGATCGAGAACGGGCTATAGATGTCAGATGGCAATTAAACAGGGAAGGTCAGCTAGTTCCTCAGCTCGAATGCAGAGCAGGCTATCCCGACAAGTAGAGGCTTGTGTGGGATATCTGGTCATATAAGGAAGAGGAGATGTTCGATAGTGGATCTTGACGTAAGCAGGAATGGAGGAATTTCGGCTAGCTATAGAGGTTGGAAGCTAAATCAGGGCTTGCGGTTGAGAGTTGGGATTGTGAGAGTTTTAGAGTGCAGAAAGAAGAGGATGAGGTAGAGCAGAGAAAAACAGAAGGTTTCGTTTCTTCGACTTTTTTAACGACGAGGCAGGCAGCGATCAAGGAGTGATTCACAGGAAATCGGATGAGCGGAGCACGCAAAGAATGAACGGAAGTCATGCACTCATCGTCGCTGACGTGAGGAATTCTTGGTCGGACTTCCCGGTTGCAAGCGAGGTAAGGCGTCAGATCCGATGTCGACTGATTTTTTTTATTCTAATTCAATTATTAATATTAATAATATTATTATTATTCTTTAATAACAGAGATCACAAAATGAGAATTTGACTTAAAAACGTGCAATTTTCTCGATTTCTATGCATCGTTGTCTCGAAATCCATATCCATTCCCTCATGCAAATTTCATTGGACAAAATTACAGCCCATTTTGGGTGTCGTCGGCATTCCGAGCGCAACGGTGAAGTACGTTTTGCGATCAGACGTCATTTGGGCGACGTCACGCGTCATTTTTTGGTGTCAGTCGCCGATTTTGATCGGTCTCATTCGATTCGACTGCGAGGGGCTTCCACTTAAGGGAATTCGATGTTCTGATCACAACGTCGCAATCCATTCGGCGATCGAAGGTCATTTGACCCTTCAAGTGATGCGTCGCGCACGCCGACCGTCATTTTTGTGGCCGATTTTGCACATTTTCACGCATATTTTATATATAGCTCAACAACAACCTAAATAAAAATAGATATTTTGTTATTATAGCATATTAGTAAAATCGAAGTTACAAAGGTTTTAAAAAAAATGAATCGTAGAACTATTGGACCTGATGATATTCCAATAAAGGTGTGGAAATGCTTAGGAGATGAAGGAATTACTTGGCTTACAAAATTTTTCAATATCATTTTGAAGGATAAAAAGATGTCAGATGAGTAAAAAATGATATTGATTCCTATTTTTAAGAATAAAGGTAATTCACAAGAGTGTGTGAATTATAGAGGAATAAAGTTAATGTGTCATACTTTAAAACTATGGTAGAGAGTTATTGAGCATAGGTTATGACATGATACTAATGTTTCTCAAAATCAATTTGAATTCATGCCGAGTAGGTCTACTATGTAAGCCATACATTTATTGACAGGTTTGATAGAGAAATATAGATCTAAAACTGAATATATGGAGTGTAATTTTAGTAGTAATAGAACTAATGAGGGGATTGTGATTTTGGGTGATCAAGCCATTAATAAGAGTACACGTTTTAGATATCTTGGATCTATTGTTCAGAGTGATGGTGAAATAGATTGGGATATTATCAGTAAAATTCAAGTTGGATGGTTGAAGTGGAGGAATGTATTGGGTATATTGTGTGATAGAAAAGTCCCCCTCAAACATAAGGGAATATTCTATAAGATGGTGGTGAGGCCTACAATGCTTTATGGTGTAGAATGTTGGCCATTAAAAGAGAAGCATAAAATTAAGTGTTGCTAAGATGAGGATGCTCAAGTGGATGAGTGGCTTTACTCTTAAAGATAGAATACGAAATGAACATATATGTGAAAAGGTTGGAGTAGCTCCAGAAGCAAATAAGATCAGAGAGAGTCACCTTAAATGGTTTGATCACATAAAACTTCGGCCTTTCGATGACCCAATTAGGAGAGTAGATGTATTAGATTTGGCTTATGTTAAGAAAGGTAGAGGTAGACCTAAAAAGACTTGGTTATCAAATATTAAAAATAGCCTTTATTTATTAGATTTAAAGGAAAATTTGACTCTTAACAGGATACAATGGAGAAAAAGTATTTATTAGTCAACCCCACGTAGTGGGATAAAGGATTGATGTTGTTGTTATTGTTGCAGTTACTTCTACTCGATTTTAGGAAATCCAGTGCATTAATCTGATTTATATAAAAGAACGTCATATTTAGTGGAATTCACACATAGGATGTGAAAAGGAGCGATTGGAGATGTTCGACCAGCATATGATGCGACGAACGCTTTGGAGGGTTCAGAAAAATTTTGGTTACATCATGCACATCAGAAAAATTGAAATCAACCCCAATAAAATCAAAATGATAGTTGAGATGCCTCCACCAAAAAGCTTTCACCAGCTTCATTCATTATAAGGACAAATTGCTTTAATTTAGTGATTCATATTAAACTTCACAAAAAGATGTCAATCATTTGTCAAGTTGATGAAGAAGAATGTTTGCATCAAATGAGACAATGAATGCTAAAAAACCTTCAACAACATAAAAAAATAGTTAATAAGTCCAACCATACAATCTCGCAAAAACCTTTATTCTGAATGCAATATTAGAAGATCCTTTTAGAGAATTACTGGCTCAACATAATGAAGACTATAAAAAATGAACATTCTTTATTACTGTGGGCTCCGAAAATTCGGCCCCGGCCTCCCCGCCGCGCTTTTCTTTATTCGGCTAGGGAGTTTTAACGAACTAAATTCCGGGGTAAATTTTGGAAGGCAGATGAGTTTGTATTTTTC